CCCAAAGAATACATATGAACTCGTATCACATGCACTTGTACCGCGTGGCCCCATGTCTGATGATCAAGAACACATAGAAAGGTTTGTATCGTGTCTCGTTCCATGACACTATAGATTTGGGTGAAACCCCCAGCACCATAATCCGTATATATTACCTCGAGTTTTAAATCGCCGCCCCCCCACAACCATATGATACAGGGTCCCATGTCAAAGAAAATAAGAAAATCAACAACCTACGTCTCTCAAACCCATCTGATACTACATCAACCTGACGATTCCTGACCTAAAGTATCTATATGCACTCGTACCACATGCATACATACCGCGTGCCCCCATGGCTAATGATTGGGAACATATTGAAGGAGAAGTCTCATATCTTGTTCCATGACACTAGAGTGATAACCGGAACCCCCAGCGCATGATCCATATATAACATTGAGTTTGAAGACACAACCCCTCCGCCCCTCCCCCATACCCATACAATGCAGTGTCTCATGTCGAAGAATAGAAGAAAATCAGCAAGCTGTGTCTCCTGTACCCACATGATACTACATGGAGCTGAGGACCACTTCCCCAAAGGACACATATGAACTCATACCACATGCACTCATACCGTGTGGCTCCCTGACCGATGATCGAGAACACACCAAAGTAAAAGTCTCGTTCATCATTCAAGAACATTAGAGTGATGGCCAGAACCCCCAAGACATGATTCGTGTATAACCTCAAGTTTAAAAACACCCCCGACACTGATATGATGCAGGGTCCCATATCGAAGAACATAAGAAAATTAACAAATCATCTCTCTTGGGCCCATATGATAATACATCGTGCTGAAGACTATTACCCCAAAGGATCCATATGCACTCATACCACATGCACTCAAATCGTGTGGTCCCATGGCTGATGATCGAGAAAACACAGAAGGATAAGTCACGTGTCTTGTTCAATGATGCTAGAGTGATGGGTGGAACCCCCAATGCATTATTCATATATAACCTCAACCTTGAAGATGCATCCCCTAGACCCATATGATGCAGGGTCCTATGTCAAAGAACATAAGAAAAACAACAATCGATGTCTCTCAGACCATGTCTTGGATGCCCCGAAGGGTTCATATGCACTCGTACCACATGCACTCGTACCGCGTGGCCCCCGTACTGATGATCGAGAACACACCTAAGGAGAAGTCTCATGTCTCCTTCCATGACACTATAGTGATGGACGGAATCCACAACACATGATCCATATATAACCTTGAGTTTGAATTTACAGCCCCTGCACCCATACGATGCAGTGTCTCATGCCGAAGAATATAATAAAATTAGTAAGTCGTGTCTCTTGGACCTATATGATACTACATCAAGCTGACGACAGTTTCACTAAAGGATCCATATGTACTCATACCGCATGCACTCATACCGCGTAACCCCTTAACTGATGATCGAGAATAGAAGGAAGGATAAGTCTCGTGTCTCATTCGATGACACTAGAGTGATGCATGGAACCCGCAACATATGATGTATATATAACCTCGAGTTTGAAGATGCAACGCAAGCATACGATGCATGGTCCCATGTATTAGAAAACAAGAAAATCAACAAGCTGTGTCTCTCGGACCCTTACGTTACTACATCGACATGACGACCGCTTCCCCAAAGGATCCATGTGCACTGGTGTCACATGCATTCATACCGCATGACCCCTGACTAATGATCAAGAACACATGGAAGAGGTTGTGTCTCGTTCCATGACACTAGAGTGATGGTCAGAACCCCCAACGCACACAACTCACCACACCCATATGATGCAGGGTCTCATGTCGAAGAACATAAGAAAATGAGCAATATGTGTCTTTCGGACCCATATGATACTACATCGAGTTGATGACCCCCACCCCAAAGGATTTATATGCACTCACTACTAGAAAAACAACCTTTTACGACGTGCAATGCATGTCGTAAAACGCTCAGACGACATGCAAATGTGTGTCAAGGAAGGCCCTGTCATAACGAGAGATGACACGCTTTTGCGCGTCGTCTATTTACGACGCACATTTACGACACACACTTACGACGCTCATTACAACAGACAATACGTATCAAGGAAGGCCCTGTCATAAAGGAAGACGACACATATTTGCATTTCGTAACCTTACGACACGCCTTTAGGACACGCATTGCGTATCATTAAAGCCGTTTTCATAAATGAAGATCACACGCATTTACGTGTTATAAACTTCAGCAACCATTTACGATATGCATATACGACGTGCCTTTACGATACTCTTTTACACAAAATACAAAAATATAGAAACACATATATACCAAAACAATCAATTTCAAGCAATAACATCATGTTAAAAAATTGCAATACATTGATATTAAAGGGATCTGCTTGTACATTACTATTAAGAGGTTTTCCTTAACTATATAACTTAATACTACATTGCTATAAAGGGGCACCTTCTTATTTTAGTAACTCATCATTAAGCTATCTGAAGAAGCTTTAAAACCCTTCATGTATCCAACCAATAATCATGTCTCTTAGCTTCAATATCAATGGCAGCTATTAATCAAGAACAACACGGAAATCCTACACAATAATCATGTCAGTTGTACAATAACAATATCAACTAATTAATAATACACATGGTATGTATGAGAGTGGAATCAAAGTGATCTACCAATAAGAGTTTTGTACTACCTTGAATCAAATTATTTTTGGTGGCCTCAAGGGCAGCTTCCAAAGGATACTCCTTGCCCATGCTATCTTCCTTTTGAATTTGCAGAAGAGTGTCTAGTAGTTCAAATCAGAAAAGAAAACTAATGAGTGTCATTCAAAATGTTTAAATTAAATTAATTGGCCAAAGCTAGCTTAATTACCTCTTGTTCACCAACGCAAAGGTCAATAAACTTCATATAGGCAATAAGGACACCAGGTGCATTGAAGTTTGAAATTGTAGCTATTGATTGAGAAGCTGTTACTTTGAGATCATCAGAAACTAGATCTTTTGATTTTTCCATTAACTTATCAAAGAAGTCATTGATGAAGTTGGATATATCCGTTGTATGTCCAACATTAAATCTCTGAAAATTTTAAACCAAAAAAATATAAGATAAGATAATAATAAATAAACTCTCATAATAAATAAATAAATAAATAAAAACAAACATGTCAAAGCTCTCTAGCAAAATGTGCCATTTCTCATTGTTGAGTTAATAAAGAGCCATGAAGGTCATCAAAAATAGAAAGTCCTTCAGATGCTTCTTCAGTTAGAACCTGATTAAGATACAACAAGTATGGTCAATATGTTGACTTTATGGACATAAATATTGCTTAAAAGTACTTAAAAACTTATCATGGGTAATTTTGAAGGAGAAAAGTTCCTCATTTTCTATTCACTACATAAAAACTTAATTGGTAAATTATCAAATGTGACATAAACCCTTAAATCAAAATGCACAGCTGAAAAAAATCCACCTGAAGGATGAGAATGTGTGAGAGCATAAAAAATAATGAACAGAGTCACTCTAGATTACCACCTGAACTACTCGAAACAACCAAATCATATTGTTGAAATTTTTTAATATTGTGAAACTTGTATTTCTGCCAACCCAATAATCAAATATATATATATATATATATATATATATATATATATATATATATATATATATATATATATATATATATATATATATATATATAGACACACACACGTGGAGATGACTCTTTAAGACCATCTTCAATGGTAGTTTAATGGGGAGTTGAATGGGGAGTTTAATCCCATTAGACTCAAAATCCCCATTGTGGGTTAATGACATGACACTCAATAGAATGAGGAGTTCAATCCCCATTGAACTCTACACTCTCTCTCCTCTCACACACATATAAATGATGTGACAATCCATTAAATTGTATTAGATTTAATGGAGCTCTCTCCTCTCACACACATATAAATGATGTGGCAATCCATTAAATTGTATTGGATTTAATGGAGTGTAAAGTTTAATAGGTAAAATTGTATTGTGAGTGGAATGTACATGTGGCAATCTATTGAACTCATTTGAGTTCAATGCATTGAAGATGACCTAAGTGGAATAGAGTAAGCCCTTGAATTCCCATTAGCTTCAAAACTGACTTTGGAGTAGCCTCTAACAAAATATAGAAAAAAAAACTCCATAAGCTTTTTTTTATATCATTTCTTATGGTTCATAAACAAAAATTTTACGAATACACTTATTATTTGCTCCTCCATGGTGGTTGACTCCTTTTATGAACTGGTTCATGGAGGCCTGGTGTCCATTTTAGATAACCAATACTTAAAACATTTACAATGCTTTCTTAGTGGTCAACTCAGTTGCATTGTGTGAAAAGGATATGTGGGAATCAAGCTTAGGCATCAAAAAACTATGAATTAGAATTAGGTAAGCTCTCAAACTCTTCAGTGGTTCAATGTCAGGATCTAGTACATAATGCTTGTACATAAAATCCAAATTACTAATATGTAAAATATACACCTCAATAATAACAATATCATTTAATTCTTCAAAATAAATCTTTAAGTGACTAAAGTACAATACATATGCACCTTAGAGCTTCGAGTTGGTTTTGGAGCTATATACTATATAAAATATCTTCGAGACGGTACAACTCCAACACCCATAACGCGGGAGTGTTAATTATTAAATCTTATAGTATAAATAAAGAAAATATTATTAACTTTTGTGGTGAAATCCAACCAAAAGGCAGGATATAATTACTAATTAGTGTTTGTTATGATTTAAATGTCCAAAAAGGATAAAGTGGTGCAACTTTTTTTTTTTTTTTTTTTTTTTTTTTTTTTTTTTTTTTTAATGAGTGATGCAACTTCATGTTTCTTTTGTTGTATCTCATTAAACTTATTTGTATTAACCGAACACCTTCTATCCCAAGTATGGGATACCTTAATTTCTAGTTTCGGCTAATCCATCCTTAAAATCATTAAATTAAGACTTCCCATTCATTTGGCCATGCCTCATCAGGGCCAGGGATCAGTCCCACTCTAGAGTAGAGCAAGATACTTGCATATCCACAAAAAGCAAAAAGCAAAATAACAGTAAAAGCACACATAAATTAGTAGGAATTTTACATGGATGCAAAGCTAGTAACTTAACACACGACCTAATTGAATCTCTCCAGTTATTGAGGACCTACTACTACATACGCCTCTCTAAAGTAGAGCAAAATACTGCTTGCATGGATATGCACCGACACCGTACTTAAAAAAAAAAAGTAATCACAAGCATGATTATAAACTCCACAGATGATCTTCAGATGGCGTAGTGAGTTATAGCTTGAGATTATGAAGTTGGCGAATGTTGAAAGGAGAACAGATGTTTTCGTCACCATTCAACACATGCTGAGCTATAATGAAATTTGCTGCTTGTCCGGGATGATATGCATCCCAGAACAGATACTTCGATCGATCATCACAAAGATTTGAGCTAATTTGCCTCTCTTCACCTTCAATCCGAAAGCAGAAAAATGGAGGAATGTTTCCTCCACAGCAAGGATCGTTCACATTCTCGAATCCTACGTATAAATTAACCAACTTTTAACAAGTTAATTATACGGAAGAATATCGATTATCAAATTATCAAGGTTGGATATATGATTAAATATTAAATACCATAGTCACGATAATTTTGCAAAATCTCACTTATGACATCGTAAGAATTTGCATACACGAAAATGGAACCGTTTCCCAAATCTTGATTTAAGATATTCACAGCCTGACGTAACTTTTCATTGTATCCGCGAATCAACATATTCATTTCTTCATGGCATTTTCCATCTGGCAGCAGGTGTATCGCACGAACAAACGGTAAGCAACCAAGAGGTCCTATATCGACTACAACAAACTTTCGAGCCCCTAGTTCATGCAAACGCTTCCAGGGAGGAAGAAAAAAAGTTAATGATCCAAACAAAACAACAACATTAATTCATGATGATACATAAAGTTAATAATCAATTAATAGGCACCTTAAGATATGAACCCATATGTGCGACCATGGTCTCTTGTAAAACGGCATGGGAAACTTCGTTATAACTGCCAATGAAAGGAATCTTTGGTAGGAAGTAGGTTATAATATCATTATTACCAATCGTTAACGAGAAGATTGCATTTTTTAGTAAATCTTGTGTACGATTTTCTCCCATCGTTTGGACCATTTCAGCTCTACTTTGCTCAAAATGATCGATTTGCTTTCTTAATGGAATGCGTCCAAGCTGCACAACGACATACTTACGGATCTTAACCTTAATTAATGATATAATTAATTAAAAGAACACCTCAAATCTTGTTATATTATTAGCGACAGATTTGGCATCTTTTTCCAGATTTTCTATTAATATTCTATAGAATACACGTACATAAACGGCACCAGTTTCCTCTAGAATCCCAGAAGCTCCAGAGCCGAAGTTTATTCCTCCAAGTAATGCGTTAGATGTTGCATTACCTGCCAGCGATGGCGAAGCCAACGTCTTGGCTCCCAAAGCTTGTGCTATAAATGCATAAGCTTGAAAATGATTATTTTATTTTTTTCATGATAATTAATGTATATGAGACAAAAAATAATGAGAGGGGTTAATACCAATAATGTCAATAATGGTGAAACCATTTGTGTATCTTCCTGTAGGCTTGCCACCAGAAGGCGTAAAGTCTATGCCATATGGAGAGTAGTCGGCCTTGGAGAGACTTGCCAAGTGGTTATTGTTTCCGGCATCTACAACGGAGTCCCCAAATGCAAAGTTGGTGTAAGAAACACAACGTGAAACGTGAATCAAACACAAAACAACAAAAAGCAACGAGTTCATGTTCATTTCCATTTTCATATTCATTTGCTATTAGAAGATGGTGTGGTTAATATATAAACACTTACCTTACGCAAAATTATCTTGATAGGAGCAGTAGGTTCCAATGACGTAAGTAGTTTAGGAGAAGCACACAGGCTGCATGACAACCATATCTTAAGGAAAAGATACTTGAACGAGTCTAAATGAAATGGTCTATGCACATATATCTGTACTCATTCACCAACTACACCCTAAGATAACATATTCACCGGACAATTACTACATGGGGCGAATCGTTTGCAGGTATGTATGTGTATCGTCCAATGTGACCCGGCCGTTTGGACAATAAAAAGTTTGTTAAATCGGAAAGCATGTTTCGATAAATTTCTAAATATCGATAAAATTCTTCAAGGAAAAAGAAGAAAAGCAAATTAATAGGGCGACCGATTCGAATCATTGTCCTTAAGAAAACTATATATATATATATATTATATATATATATATATATATATATATATATATAATATTATATATATATATATATATATATATATATATATATATATAATATATATATATATATATATAGAGAGAGAGAGAGAGAGAGAGAGAGAGGAGAAGATCAT